GAGGCTCAACAATCCCAGCCCTCTCAGCATGCCCTTATATGACAGGTGCTCCAGTCTCTTCATCACCTAGCCCTTCCCTTGAAGGGAAGCCCTTCCCTCTAGTATATGCATCTATTTCTTGTACTGATGAGACCCACACTAGATGTTGCACTGGTCTAGTTGGTGCTAAGTAGAGGAGAATAACCACCTCCCTTGACCAGCTGACCATGCTCCTCCTAAAGCAACCCAGGATCCTGTTGGCCGTCTTGCCACAAAGGCTTATTGCTGGTTCACAGTCAACTTGGTCACTATCAGCACCCCCATGTCATTCTTCGCAAAGCTGCTTTCCAGCTGGCCAGCCTCGCCTGTGCTGGTGCTTAGTTATTCCCCCTCATGTGCAGGACTTGAATCTTCAGCTGTTGAACTTCATGAGATGCCTGTTGGCCCATGTCTCCAACCTCACAAGACCCATCTGAATGGCAGCAAAACCACCTGGTGTATCAACTGCTCCTCCCAGTTTTGTGTCATCTATGTATCTGCAGATATCGTCATCTGGGTCACTGGCAGAGACAGGAAACAGTACCGGCCCAGTATTGACCCCTGCAGTACAGCACTAGTGACTGCTTTCCAGATGGACTTTTTGCCCTTGATCACAACCCTTTGAGCCTGGCAGTTTGTTTGGCCACTTTTCAATTCACACCATTGTCAACTTGCCTAGTCCGTACTCCATCAGTTCATCTGTGCCAATGTTATGAGAGACAGAGATGAAAATCTTGCTAAAGTAAACATTCACTGCTCTCCCCTCATCCACTGAGCTAGTAATTTTATTGTGGAAGGCTATCAGGTTGGTCAGGCATAATTTTTCCTTTGTAAATGCACAAAGACTACTCCAAATCACCTGCTTCTCCCTAATGTGTTTGGAATAGGTTTACCATTTACCAGATCATTTGCTCCATCATCTTCCCAGGGATCAAGGTGAAGAGAAACAACCTATGCTTTCCTGGATCCTCTTGCTTGTCCTTTTTGAAAATAGGAGTGACATTTACTTTCTTCTGTTTCTCAGGACTCTCCCAGTTGCTTTGACCTTTTTAAGAATAATCAAAAGCAGTCTTACCGTGTCATTGGCCAACTCCTTCTGCACTTGTGTGTGCATCCTATCATGTCCCATGGACTTCTGTATGTCAGGTTGTTTTGAAATGTTCCCTTATCTGATTGTCCTCTACTGACAGGTTAGTCCTCCTTGTTCCAGAATGTCCCACTGACCTCAGAGGCCTGGGATTGCTGAAGACAAGGTCCTACCAGAAAAGACCAAAGTAAAGGAGAATTTGAGTAGTTTGGCCATTTTCATTTTGTTCCTCAGCAGGTCCCCTGCCTCATTCAGCAACGGACTCACATTTTCCCTAGCCTTCCTTTTGCTGCTGATGTCCCCATAAAATCCCTTCTCATTGTTCTTTATGTCTCCCCAATGTATTCAATTCCTGATGGCCTTTGCTTTCCCTAACCCCATCCCTCCACACTTGGCCAGTGTTTCTGTGTGAATCACAGGTCACCTGCTCCTTCTTTCACATTTTGTATGCTTTTTTTCGTGACTTTGGTCAGGAACAAGTAGTTCCCGACCATGCATGTCTCCTGGACCTGTGATTGACAATCTCCAAGTTGGAAGAGATCGTTCTGGCACTTGAAGGAGGTGATCCTTGAAAATCAGTCAGCTGGATGTCTGGATACTAAGGTGAAAAAATATATTCAAGATAGTTATGAAATACACCTACCTCTCACTGAGGAATTAGTTATAAACTCCATTCTCTGTTTCACTGGCTGAATAGACTCAATTCTCATATTTCCTTCTGCTGTGGCTTTTGCAGGATAAGGCAGACAGGGTTTGGAAGGGTTGGGGAGCATCCTGTTTCTGTGCATTGTGCTGGTTTTTAACTAAACTTTGTCTGCCTAACAGTGTGTATTATAGTTACAATATAATTCAGTAATAAATTAATGAAAATACTGTAAGGGGAAAAGCAGTCATCAAGAACTGAAGTCACTAGTTATATGATTGTTGTCATTTTGAATTACATTTTCAAGTGTTCAGCTCCAAACAGAGACATAAAATCTAGTATTGTTCTTTTTTTTTAATCTCCAAGCATTAGTAAATCTACTTTTAGAAAGGTAATCCTTTCTGAAAAATACAAAATCCTAATCTCTCCTACCTTGAATCATGTACAGAAAATTCCTTAAATTGTTCATAAATTAAAGTGAATGTATGCATATATTAAAAAAATTCTATCTTTTTACAGGTATATATCTACACATTTATATAGAGACATGGTCACTGCTACCAACCCTTATTACATTCCTATAGTGTTTTCCCTAAAGGCTCAGCTCCCAGAGTCAGGTAATTACATGAATCTCTAGTTGAATTTTAAATGGAAGTTAGTTCTTGCCTGACATATTCAGAGACTCAAATGCAATATAAACAATGTTTGAAACAAATGAGGATTTCAATGTCTAAATGAGAAGCAAGGACGTAAATACTTTGGAAGTTTTATAAAGCAACACAGAACAGAAACAGCCAACTTCCAATTTCATTTATTTAAAGCTGATGTCTTGATTTTTTGAAACTTCCTCACCATTTTTTGGCAGGAATTTATCAATAACTGCATAGTGATAGCCATATTAAAAGCCACAGTAGAGGTGGGGACATGTTTGAAAAGTCTCAAATTCTTTAATCACTACAAGCCCATCTGAATTGAAGGCTGTGGCATGGAGGGAGTCAAGGGGGAGCAGAGTCTGATGAGCCAATGGTAATCACAGTAAAAAAACTCAAACACAGAGTAAGCTGGAGCAGAAGGCAAGCTTCTCTGGCCCTCAGGACTTTTCAATCCACATGGCGCTTTTTGGGTATTTACTAGGCTAAACCAATGCCAGTGCAGGGGACTTGGTACAGGACTGGAGCCCCTGAACAGTTCCTGTGTAGGGACCAACCTCCTCTCTGTCAGATTCAAACAGCAGATGGAGTCCCTCAGGCCCAGACATGCATATTTGACAGCAATAGTTAGACCCCACGAAATTTAATTTGTCCTAAATCATTGCTCTCTGTAAGTATTAATCCTCATGAATGATTGTAAAATAGATAATAGCTTGAGGAAAAAGTCTGTCTAGGATTAAACAGGATAGTTAGGCTCAACTCAAACAGGCTACATCATGTATCATGGTTGACACAGGATGATTGCTGGAGCTGTTCCTCAGGGCTCAGACACCTGGGTTAACTGGCATCAGCTAAAGGACAGTGAACAGGAAAAGCACCTCTTCTTGTTCACAGAAAATTATGTCTCTGCACAAAAATAACACAGTATTCTGACAGCTTGTATAATTTTGTGCTGGACAATAATTTCTTCTGACAGGAAGATATCCAGTCCTAGCCTCTGTCCTGAGACTTAAAAATGCAAGGAAAACTCCCTATCAAGCCTTTGATAGTACTATCATACAGCACCATGTACAGAAAACAAAATCAGTGAGATCTCCTGCTGTGAGAGGACAGGAAGGAAACTATTCTGAGGAGGAAGGTGTAGAGTATAGTAGGATAGAAATTAGGGCAGAGGAGAGAATTAGAATAGAATAGTTGGCAGTAATGGCAGAAGTGATCATGATGTGATCAGAAGCTTGGCTGAAGCCACTAACCCGTATCAGTTATGCCATCTGGCATGTGACAAATTCATTTAAGTCATCACTGGCTTGGGTTGATTTAAATGAGAGATGGAGCAGGAAAGGGCTCTGTGGCTATTGCTGGTACTGTGTTCCCAACAGAGTAGCCAGCTTGCAATGTCAATATTTGTTCTCTCTTTCCCCAATTTAGAATAATTAAGACTTCAGGAAAAGAAAACATTGTTAAGAAATATAGTGGTTATTTGGTTATATTTACAAAACTGAAATTTTCTTCTTATTCTGATAATTATTTCAACTAAGTCTGTGGATGTTAGCTTTATTATGACATTTGTCAGTATCTGTCACTGTGAAAATCTCTGATAAATGCCCTCAATTTCTCTTTTAGAGTAATGTCATTAACCTCTAAGTGAACAAAATACTTAATTTGTTGCCATAGCACTGGACTTCTAAGAAATACACAGTGACCTGCATAGAGAACTAGCACAAACCTGATAAGCATGTACTAGGTCTATTAAAAAAAAAATCAGAGATTGGATTTACTGCTCTAAGAGAGACAGTCTTTGTGACAGCTACCATGCCATGCTTGTGAAAATTAGAACCACCCTGGCTGAATTAGATGTCCCCCCAATAAGCTGGATTTGTTTCTTACCATTAATCTCAGACTTGTGCAGAACTATATTACGAACTATATAACCAACCCACGTGGCTAAAGTAAAAGCACATTGTAATGGTAATAATGAAACCAGAATGACGTGCCAAAATACTGCCTTCTTAAACCTATCAGAGTGTCATGGCCCAAAGGCAAAAACATAAATATGGAATTCAAGAAATCCAGAGCATAATATTTATTTTGCTTTAGTGTTTCTACACCAAAGTAAAAATAATTGTAAAAGGCTTCTGCTGGGCAAAAACTGTGACAGAGAGCAAAAGGCGGCATGAGGCTTTCACGAAGGACGTGAGGAGAAAGCATGTGATGTTCAACGCTTGCTAAGGTGTTTCACCACATCTGTACCATGTTTAGGACCCATGCCACATCAAACCCTGGCTCAGTAACAAGTAGAGCTGACTGATCTTGCTTGTGTGCTTGAAGACTGCCTCCCTAGGAGCCAGCTGAGCCAGCTAGTCTCTCCTGCAAATTGGTTTGCTCCACATAGGAGTCCAGGAGCTATGCAAGATGAAATGAAGGGTGGACTATCAGAGACAAGAGCCTTGGTGGGAAACACAAAGTGAGATAGGTTAATATTCTGTATTTTTTTGCAAGACAGACGTGAAATTATTAGAAGACATTCCTTTATAACACATGTAACATGGCATAACAGGTATTATTTATTGTACTTTTTTCAAATATAGTCTAAAATTCAAAGTATTTATCAAAGCATTTATTGTAAATAGCAATCATGGGAATATATCTCAAATGTCACAAATTTTAATCTATACATTGAAAATAAAGTGAAGTATCTAATAATCATGACCTGCAGAAAAACATTTATCCTTGTGGAAGAGTAGATTGGCTGGGGGACCACACCAAAAGAATGTGAATGTAAAGATTAAAGAGAAACTTTGGAGAAAATCATCTTAAACTCTCAGAATTTTTGTCTGAGATGACTATTAAAAATATTTTTTTTCTCCCATTTATTTAGTTTAAAGCTTTGATGGTACCAGTAGGAGTCAACACAGGCAGGACACAGGAACAACCTCAAAACCACAAATTAAATGCAGAGAGTAAATTTGATCTGTTACCTCGCCAACCAGAGATCACCAAAGCAGCAATCAGGAGACACACAAGCAGGGACACAAGCACTGTGAAGCTTGATCCATGCAATAGGATCACCCAGTCTGCTGTTTTCTCCTGTATTTCAAGGATTTGCACAAGCATAATTTACCACTGTGCTTTAACCTTGCCCACAGCAGGGCAAGAATCTCAAGCACATTCAGTAGGGTGCCTCTAAGGCTACAACAGGCCTATGTTATCTAAACACAGATGTTCTACTTGTCTAACACACAAGGTCAAACAACAATTAATATGCAGTATGTGTTTTTTGACACCCAAACTGCAGGTCACTCGAGCGTGTTTACAATCCTCCTCACCAATCTTCCATTTCCCGCAGTTCCTGATGACAGATCCAGATTGGTACGTGCAGACTGGTCCAATGCAGCAGGTGATGGCAGAGTAGACCTAACACTATTTTGCATCCCTACACCATTTCATTTCTGGGTCCAGTTCCACAAAATCTGCAAAAGCTTTCTGACCTGGGACCTGGTACACAGGATGGATAACAGTGCGTGAACTGGGACTTTAGTTAGCTATATTCTATGTCAGGGCTTTCAAGAGAATCCAAGTTTGGAATATTACAGTTGATTGCAGCCTTCACATCTTAATTTTGAAGGGATGTTTTCTATTTCTTTTTAGAGCTTGGAAGGTGGCAAAGGAACCATCCAGCTGGTCCAAGAACTGCCAGTGAAAATGCTGAGAATCCAATGATCGTCTCCTAAATTAAAGGAAATAAGGTTAAATAAAGCTAAAAAAAAATTGAAATGCTCTCAGAACAAGCTGCCTATTTCCAAAAATTTATTTTATATTATTGAACTTGTGCAGCTATAATTCCAGAGATGTGGCAGATTCTAATGGAAAAATAATCCAGGGAGGATTATTTTACGTGTTCAGACTAGAAGCACTAGTAACCTGTGGCAGTTGGAAAGAAAAGTACCTTAGTCCATGCCATGCACAAATATTCTTATACAAGACACATTTAAAAGCATAAAAGACACATTACAAGATAAGAATTTTTTTTATTTTCCTCCCGATTCAGTATATTTTGTGCCTATTTCTTGAGCTTTTTATTAACAAAATCTTTATAGAAACAGTATTATTTGCTTAGTATTTACAGTAATGCAGCTTACCACTAATCATATACAAGAGCTTTGAGTATCTACTAACACTGGGAGTTGATATAATAGGGGAGAGAGTTACTGCTTAATTTAGTTAAGTAATTTTACTTAGCCTTCTATAATCATATATTAGAGTATTTGTGCTGGGGACTATAATAAAGCTTATGAAAGGCACCCCACAGAAATGGGGTTTGGTGATGCTTGTCTCTGTAGGATACTGTGACAGCATTCCCTTCCTCTCAAGCACAAACTTGCCGTCTAGGAGGTGGGAGGAGAGGAAATTCTTTAAGGGGAGTTCCTGGGGAGAGCTGGTTTCTAGTTGGGATGAATAAAGCAATAGAAAGCTCCTCTAAGAAGATGGATTTGCATGAGGAAAAAAAAGTGAGGGCTCAAAGACAGGACTCACCACTAGTCCCACTTTTTCCTCAGGTGGGGAGCTGTGGATCCAGCAGCTGCTCCAACTGGCAGACCTGACGTGGAAGAGTCGGGATCCATAGTGCATTATAGGGCCCATTATTTTATCCCGGTGAGGGGAGAGCTGGGGTATCCTGACCAGCCAGTAACTACTGCTGCCAGGAGTTTCCCAGTCCTTTGTTATTTTCTATTGCTCAAAGCCTGTAGAATGCTGAATTCTTTTCAGTGAAGGCAAGGAGTTCATCTGCTTGACAGTCAAGTCCCTTAATTTTTAAGTTGGATGCAAGATGCACCAACACAACCAAAATATACTGGGTGGCTGCTGTCCTGGGTCATCACCAGCAGGAGTGTATGTATGTGCCTACTTACTGAGAAAGGAGCACCTTGGGTTGATGCAGCCACCTCCCACAGGCTCACTGAGTTACACTGATGAGCCCAATGGGTGGGAGGAGTCTGTCTCTGATGATGATGCTGTGAGGCAAAATGGAGAAAGCTGTCTGTCCTCCCATCTACTAGAGCTTTAAAAGTATTTTCCCCCTATGTTCATATGCATATGTCTTCTCAATTTGAAACACAAGTTGTTTTCTCAATTTGAAAACACAAATTGTTTTCACCCCAATGACACGCTCTCTGGAATTCCCATTTGCAGTTCACATACCACCTTAATTCAAAAAACAATCTGACCCATAAACGACCAGTACCTTGAATAAAATAATTCCTGCTCCCACTGCAGAGAATATCTCCCTCTTGCACATCCTAGCCAAAACATCACTAATCCAGGTGAACCTGTGATGCAGCCTGCTGAGAGAGCAGCCGTCCACAGCAGGGAAATGTCGAGTCACCTGCCCATGTTCAGCATCAAAGCAAAATATGTGACAGGGCAACAGACAAAGGCAGAAAAATGTTATCAGCATTCCTGGTAGGAGACTATTTAAGAACAGAAGTAAGTGGGTAGGTACAGAGAGGGATATATCTACTCCTCTGCCTGCAGAACTGGATGGATGCTGGAGAGCCTCAGTGTTGTGGCACTAAGCCCAGGAGTAGGAGTTATTAGCCCAGGACCAGCACCATGCTAATTAAGGAGTTCATCTTGCGAATTGGTGCTGGTTTATAGCTAGTCAGCTTTCACCCATAGCAATCAGACATCTGACAGTCTACACATATCTGTATCAAATGTGTTACTTGTGCACTCAGAGGCGAAGAGGCAGGAAAGTAAATAATCCTCCCCTCAGCTACAGACTGTGCCATTTCCAGCATGGACATTTTTGATAGATGAAATCTGCACTTGTTACATGCAGACATGAAGATTTTCACTCAGTGACAAGATTTTTACTGCAGTAAACATGCAACCTATTAGATTTCCTACTCATTTCTAAATACATTGTATTTATTTATTTCGTATTTTCTCCTGCCTTTAATTACCAAAGACTGAATCAGATAACTAAGTCATCCTTCTCTAGGCTTCTCATCAGAGTACATACTTGAAGCTCACTTCCAAGACAGTCTGCAATGCACTGATGGTGGGGAGAGCCTCATCTTGAGGGTTTTTTGACAATGTGCAGAATATGTTAGCAAGGTGTAAAGAACAAAGAATTAGCAGTCTGCACAAACAAACAATAATGGATCAGTGATGAAACAGACATATCTGGCATGTATTTTGCCAGAGCTGAAGCTTTTTTATCTTGGTGAATTTACCTACTTGATTTTATAGAGGAAGACACAGCAAGGTTTTTTTCCTGTAAATTCTCCTCGAACACTAAATATCCTGCCTATCTGTAACAAATACAGAATTTTTCCAGAAATAAATATGTCTGAAAGATGTTTCTAAAGTAATTGGACAGCAAAAGACTGATTTGCATTCATCAGCTGTGTCAATAGCAGCTAAGCGTGCAGTAGATAACCCTAAGCAACCAAACTTCCTGAGACAGACCCTCTAACACCAAGAGATTGTCCTATATGATATATGATACTTTAAAATAGCAGGTTTTGAGTTCTACTACTTGTTTTCAGGTATTTAGCTTTCATGTTTCATGCTTTCTACATTAACTTTGTTTTTCTCTACAGTTGTGAGGACTGAAAACTTCATAATGTTATACTCAGATTCTGCTTTCATCTTCCAGCTATCTCCTGCTCAGACCCCACTAGCATTAATTCCTGTATTAACATGAAATCAAACAAACATTGTCCTACAATAGCAACAGTGGCTCTCATTTATCTTCCCAAGTTGGCAATTATTTTCCAGCTTTCTGAACATTTACTAGAAAATGAGACATAATCTTATTTTTCTAGTAAACCTTCCAACTATTGAGCTGCAAATCCAAACCACTCTTCCCCATTATCATAGCCCTCTGCTCAGAATAGGGCTGCACCCTGGCATTTACAGCCAGTCTACATATTTTCACATGGCAGTGAACAGTGTTTGTCAAAGTGTCCCCAAAAAGGCTCAGCTGTTCTTGGCTCAGCACTGGCCTTTTTGTTCCTCACTCAGTCTTGTCTCATTTTGTGCCTGGGGATGCTCAGCGTGCTCCAGCCTCCTCTATACTCGCATTCCCAGCCCTCCAGACAGTACTTATACACCACTCGGGAACACTAGGAGTTTTCTCACATCAAGTTTAGATTTTAAAAGCCTTTTGCTGTTCCTAGGTTTGTTATTGGTCCCCTCAGTGTGGCAGGAGGACTTCAAAGCTCTCCTGGCACAGTTTATCTAGCAACTTTCTTCTTCTCTGCTACTGTAAAATACATTCTGTATCTTTCCCAACATACCTGATCCCATAGGATGGTTCCTTGCTCTTTCACTCTTTCAGTTCCCTGATTTTAAGAGTGTTTACTCTTTAGACTGTTATCACTGGAATAATTTAATTTTGCATTGCTGAAGTTCCTTCTGATATGTTCAATCATTAGTACCATTTCCTCACACCTTAGCTGAGAGGGCAGGTTCTGTAGCCACTGGTACAGTGACACAGGTTATAACATCCCCATCAGTGCCAGAGCAAAGCACTTCCAATTAACATATAGAGACAGCATCAGCCTCCTGATGTCGTAGCTCATCTTCTCCCTCACCTGCTCCTGGGCAAAGATTGTAGATAACAGTGTAAGGCTGTTTCAGCATTTTGATTTCTGCATGAGGCCACTTGTTGATTTTATTTTAAAAGGTGAGTCAAGCATGCAGGAAGTTAACGCTGTGCCGAATTTTCTATGGTAGTTGGGTTTGGAATATCACCTGTTTTCTGACAGAACCAAGCTCGCTGCACAGAGAACCCTTAACCCTCCGTGGACACAGACAGTGACATCCTTATTTTAGAGAATGGAACACACAGAACTACAACATATGTTGAAACTTCTCTGAAAATTAACACTTATTATCACTAATCTACAGATCTGCAGTTTTTTCAGTCCTGATAAAATTACTCCAATGATGTTATTGCAGAGAGAATTTTTAACCACACTTTTTTTTCCTGTTCTATCTACAATAATATTGCCATAAATAAACTCCTTGATGTTATCTTTGAAAAAATACTTTTGATCATCTTTGCTTTTTCACAAAGGAAAACATTTCAATCAGAGTGAACAAGTTTCTGAACTATCACTGTCATAAAAGATTAGAGATGCATCAAAATACAGCGGAATTCAAACCAGGGTCTTAGAGCAATATAAATGTAGGACAGTTATTCTGATGGTGGTATTTAACCTGTAGAACTATAGTGAAATGTAAGTATCTAATTTGAAAATGAAGTAAGCACAATTACTTTGAGTTTTTTGGAAGGTTGGGGTTTATTTTCTTTTAATGAGAAATTTCTAACATTGTAACTTTCCCTCCATAAGTTTCATATTTCAAAGACAATAAATTCTGTTTGTACTACTTGGACACATTGAAAAAAGCTGTCTTCAATAAAATTAAATACATCTGATATTTATAAATGTGCCTGACATCAGTAATATTCTATTTCTCCATAAATTGCAGCTCAATAGTAAGTATAGTGGAATATAGAGGATTTGGTGCTGATTCTACTCTGAGCTGCTTCTTCAGATACAGAAGAACAGCTTTTGCAAATTGCAATTATTCCAATGTCTGTTTCTAGCACAGACACAATCTAGATATGTTTCAACTTAAATTCATGACCTTTTCATTATGAACCTTACTGAAACACTTGTTTAAGCTGCCCAGGCTTTTGAGGGCACTTTTGGA